TGTAAAGTGTGCCTTTATTTCAACACCGTATTTTGTTTTGTTCTCGGTCTGTCCCTTCTGCCCTCCTTATAGGTCCAGCATATGATATTATCGCAACAAAATGAAGGACTTCTTTTGTTCCGTAATGCAAGATTCTTTAAAGGGCCCGAAGACGCTGCAGCTGAATCCAGGTTGCCTCCGATCCACGGATCATAGTAAGTAAGTGTAAATAATCTTTTACACCAAGGAGGTCTGGGCCCTGCTTTCCCATCACTTCAGGGAGCTCTTCAGGCTCGGACGACATCGGACTGACAAGTGTTACCGCGACGTTTGACGTTTGACTCGATGTTTCTTGTCACAGCGGAGACAGAGCGCTTCATAGGCGCTGCATCGAGATGCAGCAGTCACCTCAGGTAGAAAAGTCTTCCGCAGCTTACAGTGGCCGTAAATGCCAGTAAAATGCCACCAAACGTTTAACGTATGTGTGTGTGTGTGTCCTTGATGTATACAGACCTGTATAGATTTGTGCATTACCTGGTGCTAATCTGTGTGTTGATTTGTACCTCGACGTACCCATCGGTAAAGTCTTAATGATTGGAATGCTAATCCAGCTGTTTTACCTGCAGTTTGATCTGGTTAATGAAAGCACAGCTCAAACAGCTGATTAAATCTGACCGCAGACACTAGGACACAAACATCACATCTGCATCGCGTTGACATACTGGTTGCCATAGCAACAGACAGGCAATAATTCATATGTAAAGGTTATCGCCTTTTACTTCTATGTACCTGATTCATTGTCATTCCCTTTCATCTCTGATATGATCTTCTTTAACCTCCACCTCCAGCTTTCTTCTTCATCAGCTTATTAATTCTTTGGGTGGCCTCCGTTCCTCTCATCTTCTTTTCATTCTTCTCTTTTCATTTCTTCATCTTCTACTTCCACTTATTCTCTTTCGCCTCCCAGCCCTCCCGTGGTTATCATCATCCCCTTCCCGCACGGTGTCCTATTGTTTCTCCTTTCCTCTCTTCCTCCTCTCCTCTCGGTAGATCAGCATTTATCCTGGTTTTCCCATTCCAAATACTGTCACCTCGCATTTACCTCAAAGGTTCTACCGGGTGTCCCTGAGGGTTATTTATGTGCATTCGTCCCTCTATATGTGTTTGCTCTTTCCTCCTGCCTCCACATGCTCAAGTAGCGACAAAGGGCTCGGGCATTAATATTCAGGCCCTCCAGGCATTTAGTGCCGGAGATATTTGGTAGAGTATTGTTTTTTAAATGTATTTTCTATTTCTATTTGTTTATTCTTTTGGTGATGGGATTGAACAGAAATTCATCCAGCGGTAATATTTACAGCCTGAGGCGTTTTTGAGAGTTGTTTTCGGGTATTGGTGGGATATTGTGCTCTTTTTTCTTGGTTTGGGACCATGCTCATCTGGCATCCTGCCTCTGGCCCTCGTATAATCAAATAACCGGCCATAGTAAATATAGCCTGTCTTGTAAGCAGTTGTTGCTGCTTCACTTCCCGACAGCCTCTCTGGCCCCGTGTGTATGTACGCTTTATGTTTTACACAACTGTGTGGCCCTTTAGATGGATGCTGGACTTTTCAGACACATATCAGCCACTCCGTGTCATCCAGCTCTGACATGACAAAGGTTTGGTGAGAGTAAAGCCTGAAACACCTACAATTAAAGCCAATGACTCATTTTGCACAAGTTTAACCGAGTAGGTTCACATGCAGTGACCCATCCTTAGCATCAGAGTAAAATACCCCAGAGCCAGACTTTAGGCAGAATAATTGTGACTTTGTTAAACATCCCAAATCGCTCATTACTATGGTTTGGTTTGCAGATCAGTGTGGTTTGTTGCACCTGTAACCACCTGTCTACTCCGGTGTGCACCATCACCAACCCAGTTTACTTTTTCTTCAAACCACATGATGCAGCGAATGTCGACGTTGCTGAACTAACAATACATTTCATATCCTATAACGCTTGTACAAAACGCACAACCGCTCTGACGAGTTGAGCAGAAAGTTTTCTGGCTGCCTTGGATTGATCTGTAAGCTTCTTTGTGGCTTCTCCAGGAACCACCCGCTATAGTTTCTTCCCTTTTGCTGGCCGACTGAATGGTTATTTTTGAATCAACAGTGCAGACACGTGTGATTTGTTCTGGAACTAACACTGCCAGCAGTCAAACTCTGTAACAAATGGTCCGGACTAAAACACTGCAGTCATCCATTTGGCAATGGAGGAAATGAAAGTGAGAAATGACATTCGTGGAGTTTACTGTTGTTGGTCGGAGAGTCGCATGCGACTCCTCTGCTTTGGTTCCCTGAGGATGTGACAAAACATAACTTGGAAATGAACCATTTTAATATTTGTATAAAATGTTTTGCACAGTGGACAATCTTTCAAAGGGAACACGTCTAAGTTTGATGTGATACTCAGTCACAGTAACTGTTTTAATACTAGTAAAGTTTCCCTGCAGATCATGATTTGCTGACCTTGCCAAAACTAAACTATTAATGAATGCATCCAAAAATAAAGAAAAGGGACAGAGCAAAATAGTTTAATTCTGCGTGGACGTATTAATTTGCTTTCACTGCCGACAATGCTGGCTTACCTTTATGCTTGTTATGTGGCAAAAAATGAAATGTTGAAAGAAACTTCCAGAACGAGCACGCATCATTTACTAAAAAGTAACTTGTGCAGATGAGCTAAAGAAAGAGTGATTCCTCTCAAACTGAGCAGTATTATTATTATTTGTGAACAGGAAGCAGGTTACTGAAGGCCTTAGCCTGGGCCAAACAAAAGCCAACACGCTTATCACTCTCTCATAAAGCTCAAACATCGGCCCCCGGTCCTCAACCGATCAATATTTATATATATATATATATATATATATATATATGTATATATATATATATATATATATATATAAATAAATAGCTTCTAAGGATCCAGACTAATTTTATTTGGTGAAATGGCTCTCTGCACAGGTATCCTGCAGACCCCTGTCCTTGTGGCTCATCAGTTTGGACTGTACTCTTTTTTACGTGTGATATCTCAATCAATCCTCCAAAATATATATTTTCTTCACGGGGTTGGCATCCGTAAAGCTGGGCTTTGTGACTTATGGCAAAAAAAGAAATTTGTGGATATACTCACTGATATCTGACATCTGATCATTTACCTTCTTCTCTGTGAGGAAAGTTTGAGAGCTAAGTTTATTAAGTATCAAGCCCCGCCTGTTGTTATCGTCTCTTTTTTGTTGGAGATGTGTAATGCATCATGGCATGGTATTTCTTTAATAACAGTGCGTGATATACAACACAAGCATGTGCACAACGAGCGTAGGGATTCCAAAGGCTTGAGAGAGGAGATTGAAAAATGATGCTGCATCCCTGAGAGAGCATTACAGAGAAACAAAGAAAACTATTTACGGCTACGCCCCTTCCCAGACGAGCAACCGAGCTCTACCTTTACAACAAATTTGATCAAAATCAATCATTTACCGCAGTCTCCTCATTTCACATTCGAGAGCAGCCCAATTCCCTCTCCGGATTATTCATCTGCCTGTGGCGAGGTTCCCCGCCTACATGTCAGCATCTTCCGAGCTCTGCTGGTGAATCCCGTGATTGCCTCTCTGGCGCAATCCTGCTCGCAACCCTGTCCTCTCAGTTGTGGGTGGCTCTGATGTTATCTCTAAAGCTGCTGAGAAACCGCCACTGAGGACAAAACTGGCATTAAACCTTCAACGGAGGGGAGAACATACATCACCAGTGATTCAATTTAATTTGGTTCTCTCGGCCGCATTTCATTGAGATAATTTGCACGCGCACTGATTCATTGATTATATCACATCTTCTGCGGTCATGTTTCAGTCAAATGTCCACTCTGTAATGGTGAAGCTGGCCTACTTATGTCTTGATTGAAACCTAATGAAATCTTCTAATGAGCACCCTCTGGAGGGCAGCACAGACTTCTCTCTGTGTGTGTGTGACACTGTCAATGTGCTTGTTTGGGCTTGCTGCAAGGACTGAAGTTATTTGTGCAGCTGAGAGCAAAGTGCATGTGAGAGTCTGTGTGTGTGTGTGTGTGTGTGTGTGTGTGGTTGTATGGGCATTCAGTTTGTTCTCCATTGTCACCTGGAAGTCAGTGCTCAACTTGAAGGGAACAGGAATAATTACAATGTGATTTCTTCCCCCTCCTGTGCTTTGCATGCAGCTCTCGTCTAAAATGTTTTCATCTCCTCCTCTCCCTCTGCCTCCACTCTGTCCTGCTTCCCTGCATGTAATTTTAGTTTTTTAAAATGTTTTCTCTGTCTCCTCTTCCCTGTGGAGAGCAAGAGCACATAAGTAAAGGAGCTCTTATCCTCGCGCCGACGAGTAGATAAGAATAGGAATTACAGAGACATTCACCAGAGACGGAGAGAAAGATGGAGGGTGGGAGTGGCAGCAGAGGGGTTTAGTGAAACAGACAGAGGAGAGGAGGATGTGTGGGTGTGAATTAGAAAAGAAAGGGGAGGAAATTGGGGGGGGGGGGGGGGGGGGCGAGAGGGAGGAGGACAGAGGAGGAAACCGAGCTGCACACAAATAAAGGGACGCACAAGCTGTGCTGCTTGGGGCTTGATGGTGAAATTACTTGGCAGGGGGAGGTTTATGCCGCCTGAAGTTTACGGAAGCGTGTCTGATAAAAGGGAACTTCTTAGAGGGTCGAGGCCAATCCCTTCTCTCTCAAGGCCTATGGAAACACTGGGCACTGGATTGGATGTGGAGATGTGTCTGGAAAGCTATAGTTTACTTTCATTCGACAGTTTCGTCACATTCAGGAATCAGGAATCAGGAAACATTTATTAGCCAAAATATGTCAAACATACAAGGAATTTGTCTTGGCGATTAGTGCACGACAGTAGACAGACAAGACAACAGTGCACAAGTAATAAGTAATAAAATAATAATAATAAAATAATTATATATATATACTATATAATAATAATATAATAATAAAAATTATTATCGTTTGTGTAGAGTAATGCATAACTGCCCACCCAACTTTTCCATTACTTTGACTAACATACCCACAGAAGTACGACTAGGCATCAGAAAAGGGAAAAAGGGGGTTGTCTTCCCGGGGTTTCTGCTCAGAATAGAGGAGGGACGTGGACTTGTGAGCGCTATCGGTTCACATCCCAGAGACCAAACCAATGGTGTCTCCTGTGGGCTTTCCAAACCAGCAGGAAGAGTTAAAGCCAAGCACCTGTATGCTGTACCCTGCAAAACACGGCTAGTTGGAGCCAAAAAGTGTGCTGCGATATTAACGTTAACACAACGCAAGAGAGACACTTTGATGAGCAGATCAGACCATGCAGAAAAAACTGGGTCATTGGAGTAAACCGAGTGTAAGAACAGGTCTCTCATGTAAGTGTCGCTTAATATCTCATAACCAGCCCTGGTGTTAATACCTCCATGTGTCCTATTCTTTATCTCTGAGCAGCAGATAAGACACACGCAGCTGGATCGGTATTGTTCCGTGAGTAGCTGCGGTAGTATCTTGGAGATGGTGTGTAGATTGCTGGCGGAGTAATTCCCAGGGTTATCTGAGCTGAGCATTTTCCATCTGGATGAGACAATCCCAGGTCACATAACTGATGCGGTGTTCAACAGATTAAATCTATGGTGACCTGCGGCGGTTTGCATGCTAGACGAGGCCGTTTGTTGCTGAGGACAGCGATGACCGGAACACACCTCATCTGGAGTCTGCCGGTGGAGAAGGAGAGTCTTCAGAGCTAGAAAGACATCAAGATAGAGTTAGTGTCTGTTCCCTGTCCTTGCAGCGCCTTCTACAAGCAGCTACGGCTGTTATTTTGAGCTCCACCCGGTCTCCACCGCTCTGCTATTAAACTTTAAGCGTGAGTGTGTGCGTGTGTGACTTACCCGCAGCAATAAAAATAAGTTCTCTGCCGAGCGCCTCAATACTGTATCAGCTATGTGATATCATCCATCTCTCCCGTTTCTCTGTTCCTCTCCCCAACGTCCCAGCGTTGATATTGCTGCCGTTGATGCTGAGGACAGTATTAGAGGGAATGTCAACACCAATCTCACACAAGACGCTCAAAGAGCGCCGGATGCCACAACAATTGTAATATGAAAGAGGCTAGAAAGATGTGTTGTGCATTTTACCAGTCAAGAGACTCAACGCGATCAGTTAATTTCTGACATTGTAAGAAGGCCGTGTCTATAAGCTTTGTGTGTGCGTGGGGTTTCTGCAATCTACTCTATGCTCTCAGTGCAAACGGCTCAGTGCACTGGGAATCAAATGTCATGCTGCATACCGCTGAGCTGTGAGTGTAATGGTGCTGTGAGTGTAATGATGTACTGTAGCTCTTTCATATGGCGTCTGCGCATATCAATGCATCGGAACACACATTCTCATAATGTAGGTTAACTGTGTTTGCTCCCTGCCAGGTTTTACTTGTGAATAACTCAAATAGGCGAAATGAGCTGATAGTATAGCCTAAAGGAAAAGGGGCCTCCTGCACACACACACACACACACACACACACACACACAACCTGCATCAAATCCTGCCGAAGCGTTGGTGGTCTAATTGTGGTTTCATGTCAGCGTGAAAAGTGACAGCAGGGTCAACAAGGTGCCGCTGCAAGAGAAGATCCGTGCAAAAGGGCTGTATTGGAGTGGCCCAACGTCTAATATGGAACACAAATGATAAGAGGCACATCTTGGTGAGTACCGCTGGCAGTAACATTCTCCTCCTTATTATGTTGTATGAAGAAGATGCAACTGATACAGTGAAGGTATATTGATGCTGCGTTTCGGTGGGTCTCAATCAGCTCCTTACTGTGAATGTGCTTGTCCTTCATATGCTGCATGCTGCATAGATAATGTTTAATGTACCATATGACCACTGGCAACGTTGTGGCCACAGAAATAAGAGTGAAATAAGAGTGAAACTCTTTCTGTAGTAGTGAGTAAATCAGCGCGTCGTACCAGGGCCACTAGGTTTAGGTGTACATTGTAGAAACTATAATGTAATAAATATTGAGTGAAAATAACAACTAACAATTCTCTGACAGTACAACTAATTGGCAGCTGTGGGTTCTACAAATTGTGTACAAAATGATCTTTCAGTGTCAACACTATGGTTGAAATGCACTTATTGTAAGTCGCTTTGGATAAAAGCGTCAGCTAAATGAATGTAATGTAATTATAAAATGGCATCATGCGTCTTTCTCGTGTATCTTCTATGCAAAAAATACCGCAGGGTTATTAACATTAATATCTGATGTGACATGAGAAACATATTTGTGCTCTCTAATTTCACAAATACCAATACAGAGACTTAAATAAGCTCAATCCAAGTGATACACCAGTGGGACCAACAGAATTAGAAGGCAATACATTGACAGTAAAGGAGAGTTGTAATTACATGAGTTTGTGTCCAATTTTATTTTAACCTTGTTTTATTTATGAAGGCCAGATTATGCATATATGTTGGGTGGTGCCGGTACTTGCATGTAATAGGCACGTGCAAACATACATATCCATGCTTTTGAAGGGAGACAGTCAGGAAGCAATAAAATCTTCCATGCAATGAAAGCACTTTAGTTATGTTGAATCTAGATCAGGATCCTGGAGATTTTGAATTATTAATCAGTAAAAACAATGAAAGATTTACAACAACGTGACAAGTGAAAAAGAGAGAAAGAGGAGATCTTCAGAGAGTTTTGTTTGGACTGTGTATTTCTCCAGAGAAACTTTGTGCTGCGTTATTTAACACACTTTTTTGTGATTGGGATGTTGAATTCACATGAACAGAGTAGGTCAAGTATCGCATACGATTTATTTGCCTCTAACGATGCAGACTCATTAGAGACACCTCCACCCTTCACCTCCACCCTTCACCTCCTCTGGTCTGTGCATCTGTTGCACCAGTTGCTCTTCCTCCTGTCTTGCCCGGGTACTGAATGAGATGTCTACATGATCACCTGTAGATGTTCATGTAGACATCTCATTCATGTTGATTTTCAAAATTGAGCTTGACGGTTAATTCTTGACTTTAAATCAAGGAATGAATCATGGCTTAGTGTTGAGGAAATGAGTAGTTGAAAGTTTTTAAAGGGACAGATCCAAAAGTTGGGAAATATGCTTATTGGCTTTCCTGCTTAAAAATCAATATATATGAAACACAAAATAGAAAATCTTAACCACTGCAGAGTTTTTCAGGAAACCTGCAGAGAGTCCAGAAAGTTGCCGCACCCACGGGTTCAACAAACAAGTTCTGACATCGACAGGGGACATTTTGTACCTTTGGATTGAGATGGCTACCTGTTTATACTCCTTTCAGTTAATGCTAAATATCAGGATGCCAACTGGCTCACCATGCAACTCCTGAAAAATAGGAAAATAATTGTTTAGGGGTTTCATGCAATAAATACAAATAACTTTTTTCCATGAGTCTTTGTGTTCTTTATACATCATTGCGTTATTACTACGGTTGTTGTATAGCTGCTACATCAAATGAATCTTCCCACTTAAGAACTTCTTTGTTACTTATTGGTCCCTGTGTGCCACTTGGCCACACCTGTAGAACCCCATTCAGCGACAGAAAGAAAAAGAATCCTCTTGAGTAGTAAAGGCTTGACTCATTATTAAAACACAAGATCTGCTATTTCGAAGCCGCTGCTGTAAAGCACAGTAGCATTGGGCCTTAATGGGCCTGGACTACAAAGCTAAAGTGCTTTGACTAAGTGCTCCATCTGTCTCGCTGAATCCAACACGGGTATAACTGCATTGCCCAAAATACAAAAGACAAAAACGACATTGGCAAATACTCATATTTTCTTCCACACAGACTCTGGTGCATCTACTGATGAAGACTTTGGACAGGCCACCATTTTAAATCTATCTGCAGCACACAGAAATATCCAGCCGCACACAAATACCACGGCATGAATATTAACAAATAGTTTCAAAGGCATTGCTGTGCCGGTGTAATTCATTGCTGAGAGCAGAGTGCACTGTATTCAAAAAGTGTAAAACTGAATTCTAGCAGGGTTGTGAAAGTAAACAGTAATTTGTGTTTCAGCTTTTCAGTCACTTATTGTGGCTGTTGTGCAAAGTTTTGTCAAATTCAAAGCCACTGAGTGCGAGTGCCAAACAAATCACCAGCTTCAATCCAAACAATGTCAGGGTCAACCTCGACAAGGACATATTTTTTCTATCAAGACAGGGGGAGAGAACTGATAAATGATGTTTCATGTTTCGGGAAATCTTGGCAAAAGTGCTATTTCTCCCAAGCTCTACCAACAGTGCTGTTGTTAAAATACTGCTTCTTCTACACAAGGTAATTTGTATGATCTTTGGCGATGGAGATTGATGAAAAGTGAAAAATTAGAGGGGGCGTGTAATGCTGTTTTTCAGGTTTGTGTGTGTTGTAACCACCTGACAAGGCAATGTTTTATTCTTCCACAAAACAGGCCAGTTAGGTAATCTCTTCCAACAACAATGCCCTGAGGAGAAAAACAGTTCCTTAAACAAAAATCAGGTTTCTATTCAACTCAATCCAGCGGGCCAAGTTGCCACCTCTCCCAGGTTGATCCTGGATCCTCCACGTAAGGCCTGTTCCCGGTCTGCTCGCTCCTCTCTCTTCCAGCCAGGTGTTGTTCTTTATTCTCCCCAGCCCTGCCTCAATCCGGTGCCTTAAACACCTACAGCCGGGGGATTGTTGAGGCTTTCTGGGAAATGTAGTGGTGGCAGTGGCGGCCATTTTGTACCAATCTTGTGCAGGGATGTAGCCTGGACCCTTGTGATGCCACAGTGTATTTATCAGGTCTACATAAATGTTCAAAAAAAACGTTTTCCACATACTGTCTAAATATCCCTGTATTCTGACGTCCACATACAAAAAAACACATACATGCTCAATTACAAGAAACAGATGTTATCATGGGACATTTAGAAGCAAACACTTGCTTTCATTTGTCTCAACATCATCGCCCTCGGCCATCAAGCTACTGCAATCCGACCCAGGATCTGCTACAACGGGCCGAACCCGTCCTGTGCACACAAGGTTCCTCCCCAGGGAGCGCGTTGTCACAAAGTCACGCCCCATTTATCAGACAGACGCTCTGCTCACTTCACGGTGATCTCACAGGTTATCAAATAAAGCGTGTGAGGGTTCACTGCTCAAGGCAGGGACACTTTGGTACTGGCAGCAATGCACACACAACCTTGGGAAGATGCCATCTTCTGTGCTGCAGTTATTTATTGTCTCTGATGAAAATAAGCAGCATGATGCTAACCTTTGCAAAGACAAATCAGGGAGGGATACAGCTACTGGAGGAATCACTATCTTTGGCTGACATTTAAAAAAAGGACATCATTTCAGAGTGAACACAGTTACAGCGCACCTTGAAACTGCGGATGTCCTGTGACGTCGGTTGACTGAGGTCAGGACAGCAGACACAAAACTGATAGGGACGCAAACGCTCCTCTTTCTTCAGTCTCCAGACGGCATTTGCAACTGGGGGGGGGAATAGGTCGTCACAGCAGGCACTCGCATTTCAGTGTGTGAGTGTGGAGGAGAGTGAGGGAAAGGATGTGTGCATCCGAAAGAACGAGCGGGGCAGAGTGGGTTTTTGTCAGGTAGAGAGGGTGAAATCAGTAATTCCTGGCATTGGGAGAGTAAAGTTTGGCCGTTGGTGTGGGGGGAGGAGAGAAGGGAGAGAGGAGAGTGAGAGAGACGCTCTCTCACACAACAAATGGTTTTAAGCAGAACAACAGTGCCCCCTGTGTCTAAATCTCATATTGTATTGTATCTATATGTCTCTCTGTCTACCTACCTACCCTTTTATTCAAATATCCATCCATCCTTTCTTTTTATTCATCTATCTATCTATCTACCTACCATTGTTTTCATTCCTCTATCCATCAATCTATCCTTCTCTATCCATCATTTAGCTACTTCCATCTATTTTTCTGGTTGATATCACATATTCTGCTAATGAGACCGTCATTATCTGTTTGTAACAGCAGCCCCAGAGGACATGTGCAGGGGGGGGTGCAGGGAAAGAATCAAAGCGGGGACACACAGGGAGAGGACTTTCATCCCCTCACTGATGAATACGTCAGTGCTTCCTCTGAGGGGAGCTTGATATCACATTTGAGGCCCAGCAGCGAGACACAGGCAGAGGCCTCAGTTTATGAGGGCAACAGGGAGTTACACGGTTATAGATAGCGAGCCTACGACGGAAAAAAGGGAGTTTCTCATATGTGCCCAATAAATGGACACATAGGGCCAACGCCACAATGCAGTGGTTATTCTTGTAACGTGCCAATTGTGATAGTTTGAGTATCTGTGCAGACGGCTTCCTAGACACCTCAATGACAAGCAATTCCAGACAATCCCACTGCAGTAAAATGACTCATGTTGCATCCTCAGTTCTTGAGGGGCTAAAAGGGAAAGATTGACTCAGCAAATGACTTGCATCTGTGTGTCTGTAGTGCACTTATACACACACAGGCACACACAAAGACAGATATGAGTCACTAAAAGATGCTGCGTCTGAGAGAAATGGCCCTGGTAAATATTCACATGATTGGCTTCACACCTCAGATGAACTCAAATGTAATGCAGTGCATTGACCTCATTGAGTGTGTGTGTGTGTGTGTGGGAGGGGGAGGGTAAAGGGAGGGCGAGGTGTGTAAGGTCAATTGAGTTTATTTTGCAGTTAATCCACAACTGATATACTGTTAGTCTCCATTCCTCACTCACAGAGCTCGTCTTATGGTTGGACTTAATTAATTACCAAAGCTCTAATCCAAACCTTCCTCATAGTTCTAAATTTATCCTCATCCCCAAATCCATCAGTGGAGCGAGACTAAGCGTGTGAATATTTAGGACAAAACTTCTATGGGAAACTGCCTCTGAGTCTCTCTTCACACACAAAGTAGGTCTTTCTCTGTGTAGTGCTGTAAAGTGTACTCCAGGATGTGTCATCAGCGCACCGGGACATCACATCTGGCTGTGGGATCGTACCTACAAATGTCAAAAAAAATACAACATTACCTCCTTGATGGAGGTATTGATAGACAAGCGTATGTGGCAGCGGTACGACAAGTCCACTGCCGTTTTGTTGTAACATTTATCTGCCGGCACCCAGAATTAAAACAGGTCAATATTGGCTCGGTTAAGTGTCTCCTGCAGTGACACTTTAACTTTCCACCATATTACTACCGTAAGAGAGTAGGTCAATCAAATAGGCAAGTCAAATATGTAGAGGATTGTAACAATAAATGCCAAATACATGATTAAGAATAAGAAAGGTAAGGTAACACCTCTAAGACGTGACTGCTGAAGATAATATGTATGAATGATATGAAAACACACTTTACATTTCTATTCTATCAAAGGACACGACAGCAAAGGGTCTTTCGACATGATTATTTTCTTAACCCAGTTGCCTCAGTTTTAAACAAGCTGATTCTAATACAAAGTCAGTCTGCTTTCCTTTCAGCACAAGAATTAAATCGATTGTTCTGTATTGTAGTCCGGTCTGCTGTTCATTGAAAGGTGAATGACTCCAGCTTCTTGTATAGACCACATTGTCAGCGTTCAGGACTGAGGCTCAGCTGCAAAGGAATAAAACAACAAAAGATTTTTTTCTAGGGTTCCAATCTTTTTCTTCTCATGACAAACTCCTCTTTAGGAAGCAAATCAAAAACAGCAAAGGCACAAGTGGACTTGACATGCGGGGGAAGGAAAAAGCAAAAGAACTGGCCACAAAAAACAGAAACACCTAAAAAAAACATTTGGATAACTTCTGGATTGACATGCAGACAAACCTGGGCCCCGTTCCCCCAACGCGGTTCACCCAAGTCGATCAAATGTCCCATTAGCTCAAATTAAACCGATGATTGATGTCAGGCTGTCAGGCTCAACAATCTGTTAATTTGAAACAGACATCACAAAACCGTGATCCTCTAACAGTACAACGGCAAATAAACTCAACCCGCTGACGAACAAACGCATATGAGGAATTAGAGACCATAATGCGAATATTTGAATAATTTCTTCCCTATGAATTGAGCGCATTGTTCATTCTGCACACATGACATCCATCGCAGTCGGCCGGTGCCAGGAGAGGAATCCTCCTCTGGTTTCTTCACTTTCACTTTTTTATTTTTATTTTTATTTTTCCTGTGCCGATTCAGGACAGTTTATCCAGCTGACTTAAAATTAGAAGCAAGTTCAAGTTTTTGGATGTGTTGCTATGGTGATTTTTCCAAACTTGCCTTGTGGAACCGAAAAGCCTGATCTATGAAATGTTATCCTGAAAAAAGATCCTGTTGATTCAGTGAGCCACGTAGGAGGACCGGGGCCCCGGGGTCCGACTGTGGATAACGTGACGTGGATCGACTGACTGGTTTGGGGCTTATACGTGTAGGTGGGGTGACGATTAACTGAAACCAGGTGTGGTCAAAGGAAGGGCGGGGCAACTAAACAAAGACAGGAAGTGAGGTGGTTTGTGAGGGACAGGTGTGTAGTAAAAAAAAAATACACTAGTTTGAGTTCTTGTGAGTCATCACACAGGTATTATATTATGCATTTTTAATACAGTGGAGTACTTTTCTTCACGCCAACTCCATCAGCTGAATTCAGAGGAGACTTTTGGAATTTAAGTCAATAGTAAAAATTTGGGAACACATTTCCCAACAAGTGATGCAAATTCATTCGGTCCATCTTCTTCCAACTCGGAATCACACGCTAATCTGGGAAGTGATTTATTGTGCCATATTTCGTCATAACCTCCGTTGTACCTAATATTATTAGTGTCAAAAGAAATGTTGCAAATATTTATCAATTTTAAAGACTATGGTCACTTAAAGTTAGCCGTTTATAGCATCCTTAAAAGGGGAGAGGGAATACGTTTGGTGTGTGTCTTTGTGTGTGTTAGGGAGCAGGAGATCAGAGGGCAGTTGCATCTCTTCCTAATGGGTTTCTACAGTTTGTCTCTGGAGAACAGGAACGCACACACACATCATTATGGCTCTGTCACCACTCTCCAAGTATTTTGTAACCTTTGCTCCCCCTCACAACAAGGAAAACGGCACAGCGAATAACACTGGTTACGTCATCCTACACCTGAACCCAATTACCATAAGAGGAGGGGGCAGCTTCAGCTTGCTTCAACTAGGAACTAAGGGGGAGTACAGAGAGTTTCTCCTCCCTGAAAACCCTCATTTATGACATATCAGATGGCAACCTTGAGGATCAAAAGGACACTTGTCTGAGTTTTCTGCATACCGACCAGTAAATTGTCTAGCAGGGTTATAATAGGGTTATAAACTATCAGTTAACTCAACTGCTTTCTAGGAAGTTCTTTCTCATGCAGGCTGCCTGCACCCTGTATGACTGTTGAATCTTCTTTGCAAAGAATAAAGCTTAAAAAGTCTAATTTTGTCTTTTACCTTAGCGTTTTATTGACTGGCAGGTTTGGCCATTTTTTCCACCACACAGGTAACTACACATGCACGTACGTCATGTGCATGTTGTTTTTGTTGATGAGTGAAACTTCATTACTATGGAGTAGCAGTATCCGTATGTATGAACCGTCTGCTGTTTACCAACCAAACATTCCAGACAACATATATGCCAGAGGCCTCGAGTCACCAGCCTGACATCAGTCTTCAGTGGGATTGACATGCAGGGAATGAGGACAGTTGCAGTCGAGAAATAAACAAGTTCAAGGTAATTACAGTGCAAACAACCTTAAAAAAACGTTTTGAAACATAAAAAGTGTGGTAGGTTTGCTTTGCAACACCTCATCAGGTTCACTGATATTATAAGGTGTAGTACAACACAGCACATTTGAAGCAGTTGCAAGTGGGTTCAAACTATCATATTGTTAAAAGGATTTGCAGAGTCATCATTGCAAACAAGAGCTTCCCTGGCGTCTCTCCGCTCTATGCCTGGGGACGACGAGGCTTTTAATATATTCATGATTTCTTGAAGCAGTAATATGAAGAACAAAGCCATGCCAGCTGATTATATAATACATTTACATGGAAAAGTATGCCACTAGAAAGTGAAATACAAATGAATCAAGTGTTTTGCTCCTAGAGTGTGCAAAAGTTGGTTCATTGCAATTGTCAAACCTTCTCCATTCTGAGGCTCTTTTTTGAACTCAAAAATGTCACTCTAGATAAAAAGTGTAATAACTCTGGAACTACTCAGTCTATTTTTTTCTGTCAGGATAAAGGCAAACGCCTGAGTGTTCTGATGTGTTAGAATCAGTTTGTATGTTATTGGTAAACAAAGCGTTTTTCAAATGCGTATACAGTGGCAGCCGCAAGTATCTCGCTAAAAAATAACCGATTCATTTCATCATTTTGTTCAAAACGTTAAAGGTAAGGCGAGCGGTACGGTCGAGGGAGGGTGTGGACGGGAAGGGGGGGTGGCGGCGCTGGCGGGCCAGATGTAGCCCGCGTGCCGGAGTTTGAGACCCCTGGTATACAAGCACCGCCGTGTGCTCATTTTCTGGACTAATTTGTGTAACATATTTCATAACTTGTTGGA